CGTCCTTCTCATCCTCTTTTAGCAAAGCCACTGCAGTCATCTCTGAAATATAGAGGCATCTCTGCACACACCAAGGCAACATATGTTTTCCACGTCCTTCAGCCATGCTTCCAGAAAAGGGGGGAAAATAACACCCGCCCAGACACACACACACATCTCCGAGAATTCAGACCTACAGACAAGTGTCTCTTGCCTTTAGCTGAGCTCAACTTCAGACAAGTAAGTTTGCGAGAGACATAGAGAGGGGGTGGGGGGGAATGGAAATAAAAGCGAAATCGTTTCTCCAACCATGCATTTTCTCGCTGAAAATGAGCTGTCAGATGACCAGGACCCTCTACTGAGGCACGAGAAAAACCATCAAACTCCAAGGACCCCGATCCTAGCACACGTCCGTAAGCCTTCAGCTTCAAAGTGGAGTTCAGATACACTCAGGCTTTACCTTGGTAGAGAGCAAAAATACATCCACTTGTGCTCCAGACATACAGGCAGCAAGAAATCGTCTCTCTTACCTTTCCACTCCTTCCACTTGACATCCCATTTTCTGTTGTATTTAAGTTTATTCCCTTTAATAGAGTGTCTTCCTTAGACCACATAAGAAGCGTGGCTTGTCTTAAAAAGCCCCAAAAGCAATGAGTAGTGTGCTTCCAAAGATTGCTGTTTCAGCTCTGCCTTTCTACCCTCCTCCACAGTCACCTTTAAATGCATCTTTTACTGCTGCAGCACATTATATTTGCAGATCATAAAATCCACCTCCAGCGCTTACCAAGACTGTCCTGACATTACTGTTTTATGACCTTGACTTATTGTGGTCACCTGGATAATATTTAAATCAACGTTATGGTCTCTCGCTTATATTAAACCCGCTAGGATACTCTACTGAAAGCCTTAAAAGGATGAGTCCTGAGGAAAAAAAAAAACCTACATAGGGGGGAAAAGTGTTTCTTTAAAAAAAAAAAACACTTTAAAAAAACCCACTTGTACACGGTTCTATGAAATTTATTTTGCTCCATAAAGGAAGGTACATGCAAGTATAACACATACAGAATATATTTAAATAACACAGCCACGAGAAATGGACTTTTTTCATAATAAGATACCAATACTGCTTTATTTTTTTATTTTTTTTTTTGTCTTAAATATATGGTGGATAGTATCACTTCATTGGAAGAAACTGCATAACTACAAGATGTGAGCATGTTCCCACTTGAATGTACAGACACTTATATGAAATTCATCTTTTCGTCATTTTATTGTACAATAGGCAGACTACACTAGAATAGGAAAAGCAAACTTTCAGACTCGTCTATTATCCTAAACATAAAATGCATAGAGAAAGGTCCTTCTGGTTTCTTTTTATTAGTCTTAGTATCATTTTGTGCTGCACGTAAATAACTTAAAACATTTTTATAAGCTGGTTTTTAGCAACCATCTCAATCTTTTATTTTACATAGAAACATGGATGCAATATATATTCTCATGCTTATGCCTCTGCATCTTCGCTCTACAAACTGTAAATACCCAAATGACTTGAGGTCCTTATTTTTTTTTCCTCCTTTTTTTTTCTTTTTCTTTTTTTTTCCCCCTCTTTTTTTTCATACGCATTGCATTTATACCCAGAAGAAAAAAAAAACTGCAAAGGTTTCCTCCTGTGTGCCCCTCTCCACCACCCCGCCCCAGCCCATCTTTCTCCCTTAAATAGCATTGAACACACTCAGGTGAAATTAAAATTGGAAGTCAGTTCGCGAATTCGGTTCTCTCTGTTCATTTTCTTGAGTTTCATCCTGCGGTTTTGAAACCAGATTTTGACTTGTCTGTCTGTCAGGTTAATACTCTTACTAATCTCCAGGCGGCGCTCACGGGTCAAATACATATTGAACAAGAATTCCTTCTCCAATTCCAGCGTCTGGTGTTTAGTATAAGGACACCTTTTCTTTCTTCCGCTCTTTGCTGTCAGCCAATTTCCTGTAGTGTTTTCTGCCTTTATATCCTCTGTTAAAAATAACATTATCATATAAGTATCCGTGGAATAGGAAAGAGAACTTACCAGGCTAAAGATGTGTATTTAATGATTTCTTTATGGCTTTCCTTTCTTTTTTTTTAATCAGCTTCTTTTGGTGCAAAAGAAGCATGGCTTGCACAGGGGAGGTGAAAAAAAAGGTCTTGGATTATTTGGGGGGGCCCTGAAACTTAATTTGATCTTTCTTTTTTTAAATTTTGAATAGCCAATAGGTGTCAGGGACCCTGGCCACATCGCTGAATGGATCCACGCTGTGTGCACCTACGAGGCTGCAGCCCAAGCTCTCACCCACTCTGACTGCATATTTCAAGCAACGGATATCTTAGTGAAATGCAGTTGCTTTTCGGCTTTTCCACTCTTCCGAGCTGGAGGGTTGTCCACACGTCAGGCATGTCAGCAGAATGCAATTTTATGCAATTGCTCATGGCTTCAAGGGGGCTACATCCAGGCTTGAAGAGTGGGGGACCTTTAAAAACAGCGGTGTAACTTTGCTAAGTTCTCCGCAGGCGCTTTGCCCTCTATTTCCCCTACACCCACACCCACTCGGGGTGCTACCAGCCCATCATTTGAGGCTCAGTTTGAAGAAGATGGGCTGAAAGGTTTGGCACACTGAGCCTTTTTTTTTTTTCCCTCTCTATGGAGGAAAATCTACTTCTCCCACATGCTAGGAGGATTGGGAAGTGTACCAATTGCATTTGTCCTAATCATCCTCCTGGAAGATCTTTGCCTTTCTGAAGCATGTGTGCTTCCAGATAGGTATATTCTTAGGCAGCGGCATTTCTTCTATACACACCCACACACTTATCCACCCACCCACCTCCCACAAGCTCTGTATAAAGGCAAATGCATTTCAGGCGTTCACCGATAAACACAGCAAATACTTCGGATTTGAATTTGGTCTTGAGGAAGCCCCTGGCATCAGGGGTCGACTCGTACTTATGCCTAAACTACACACACACACGTATATACATACGTACACATATACACATGCATCATATATATATACACACATATATATATACACACACACACATACATATATATACACATGCATACACATATATATATACATACACACACACTCATATATATATATGTATATATATACACACACACACATACATATATAAATACATATACACATGCATACATATATATACACGCACATATGTGTATATATAGATATACACACACACACACATACAGATAGATAGATAGATAGATAGATAGATAGATAGATAGGGTATGTATAGTTTAGGCATAAGTACGCATATATATATAGGCATATATATGTCTATATCTATATGTGTCTATATATAGACATATATATATATATATCTATCTCAAAGGAAAGTGATGTCTTCTACCAGTCTGAAAATCCACTCGCTGCCCTATTCCTGCCGGTGTCAGAAATTTCGCCCACTGGAAATAAGGATGAAAACCCCCAAACAAGCAACACTTTATTTAACCAATTATGCCTTTCAAAATGAGCTGGCTTGAAATGCCCCTTTCCTCCATGTTCGAAGTTCCGCTTCCTTATCATTGCACCGAGCAATTTCTGTCTACAGAGTCTGGCTTTCCAGCGGTCTCAAAGACATTACAAAATATCTTACCTTGTGCCTGGATGAATATACACACAGATTTATATCTCAGGCTCAACAGAAACGAAACATTTAGCTACGCAAGAATTGTTTAAACCCGTAGATCCAGAAGCAAACCAAATCCGCTCCCCAACTGGCCGTGAGCTTTACAAATGGCAATAGCAATATAGCCCTGTTTGGCAAAATGCACAAGTCTCCAAACCAAGGACTTTTCCACGTACACATCCATTTTGTTTGAGCTTCCCATCAATGCTGGAGGTGAAGCCTCTTCCCCTTGTTTCACGCTAGTATTGTTGTTGTTATTATCATCATCATCATCATTATTATTAGTTCGCCCCCATTGCAACTGAAAGCCAGGATAGTCTTTCTTTTTTTCCCCCCGCAGGCAAACTCCCACCAAAATTGCATCCTGGCGTGCAAATACAAGACGCTGGGAGAAGATAAGTTTGCTGGGATTTTGATAACCTTGACTTTGTGTTTTGTGGAATTGCAACTCCGCTGTCAGATAAAATAATTTGCCATTGGGTGCGGGATGCATTCAGCGCGGCTTTTGGGGAGGCTGGGACTGGGGGAGTGTTTTGGGAAAGGCCAATTTGTAAAGGTGATTTTGCAGGGAGATTTCTTTCACGTGAAGGACAGGGGACGTGAAAGGTTTGTGTCTTCTCCCCTGGCAGCCCATACACGGGGCATGCATGTGTGCGAGGATACACACAAAACACACGCGTGTCTCTGTGCGAGGCTACATATTTCCTGGCCATATCTCCCTCTGCTGCTTGCTTTCTAATTATACTACCAAGTCTTAGACACAGAAGCTGTGGAAACCCCGAAATCACACCCAAAGAAACCAATCCGTTTACTTAAAGCCCTCTCCGCTTCCAAGAGCATTTTACACTAAGTATTTTGCTGCAACTTTTCAGTCAAATCACACAAGACGTCTCCTTCCTAACCTGGAAGAAACACTTCAGTCCACCTAAGTGCCTCTAATATCTCTGAAAATGAAGAGACCCATGTATTTCAAGCCATGCACACTCTCGACAGTGAGAGTCAGATCAGATGAATGAAAGCCTCTTTCCACAGAAACCCAAACTTAAGCCATCAGCTCAACACGTACAAACGTTTTTCGCCTTCACAAACCAGACCTCCATGCGCCCCCCAAAATGAGAAATTAAGAATTTAAAAAAACCCCGCTTTTCGCCCCTTCTTCCCCCAAAATCGCGAGCGTCAAGCAATGAAATGAACCGCAGCACACAACTCCAGCCTCAGCTGTTGGGCAAGTGAAAATATGACCCGGTCCATATTCTTTTCGACTCAAAGCATTTGCAACTGGGCGAAGCAGAAGAGTGGTGGGAAACCGTCTGAAGACACACCAGAAAGCAAGCCCTGGGAGAGAAAACGGCCCCGAAACGACAAGAGCTTTTTGCTTGGCAAACTCAGTGCCATCTTCGCCTAGGGTAAAAGCCACCTCGTCTAATTAAGCGCACGGCTCCTTGCGAGTCCACACTTAAATAAATACCGGCACTCTCACATCCTCCAAGCAAGACGATGCGCGTCCAAAGCGATCCCAGATCCAGCTCTCCCCCCAGCCACCCCCAGTCCTTTGCAGTGTGCATCTCTGGATTTTACAGATAAAGTGAGGGGGGACAGGGGGCTGGGACCCCTCCAGGCAGCACCCCCCAAACCTCCAAGCGAAGTTTGCAGGGGGCGAAGCCGCCCCTTCCTCCGCTCGCCTCCAAGCCTGCTGCCAAGCCAGCTCCTGATCATGAACGAGTCCTTACCTTTCGTCTCATTGTCAGAATTGTCAGTGCTGGTGTCAGTGCTTTTGTTCAGCTCCTTCTCTGGCTCCGAGGGGCCGATTTTGGGAGCGGGGGCACTTTTTTCGGTTTTAATTTCGTTGGTGGCCGTGTTCTGAGGGTTGTCTGTTTTGGTGTTTTCGGGGAAACTCACTTTAGCCACGGGTGGCGGTGGAGGAGGCGGTGGAGGCTGCTCCAGATGCTCGTTCCTTGGATTCAGACTCGCCCTGGATTCAAAACTTGCCTCAAACTCATTTGGATTGCTGCAGTTTGGCGTCTTCTCCATGGAGGAATAACCTTGGCTGGTTCGGTAGTAGCTGGGCACGGGTACTTCATGGTCGTTTAGGCAAGAGTCAGGCATTTGGTTGGGGTAGAGGGCTGCCTCTGTGGCATTTTTTGCCCTTTTGTCAGCGTTATACATACAGCAAACATTCTCTTCCTTGACATTGGTGGGGAAGGAGCAGGATGGGAGCTGTCTCGCAACAGGTTGCTCGATCCTGTAAGTATTTTTGGGGTCACACCAAGTGTCTAGCTGAGACAGGTAAGATGGATAGGTGTTGAGAGACAGGTTAGCGTTATTCACCTCGTCTCTTTTGGAAAGAGACGGGATAAGTCCACAGTTCCTCATCACTCCACAGCTGAAATCGCTTCCAGGCTGCATGTACATCCCTTGGTTAGAGGAATAATTCTCCCCTCTACAGGTACCGGCCAAGGAGTCCATCAAAAACGAGTTAGAAGTCACATTGTTGGGGCATGACATTTTCAGAGAGGGCTTTTAAAGAGGAATACTACAGCCAGGGGCTGACATCTTTTTTTTAGGGAAAAATATCAGCACCATAATTATCCACGCATTGGTCCCCACCACGTGACGCCCAGGCCAATGAGGATTGAAAATGGCCTTGATGATTCAGACGCCGATGACGTCACAGGGGTCAAGTTGTCGGGAGCGCGGAGAACCAACGTGGAGCAACAGCGACATCTATCAGCCCGGCCGGGGTAGGGAGCCGGGGACCTTCACGTTGAACAAAGGAGCGAGCCCCCTTCGCTCCGGTTTGTTTACCAATGAGCCAACGCGTGTGCACGGCAGAGTGGGGGCAAAAAAAGGAAACGACCGGGCAAACACAGGCAAAGTCAAATGCAAATAAAAAGGTCAGCAAATAATCAACCTTCCTTTGCCCCCCCCCTATTTTCCTCCCCCCACCCCTTGTCTCTCTTCCCTGCTTCTCCTTTTAT